ATCAATATCTTTGCAATATTACTCAAAAATTTAGCGGATAACAGTCGGATAATTAACAACAACTCATTGGAAATGCCCCTTATGTTTGTCTCAAGGCTCTTGATAAGACTGATATGCAACATAATTGGCCCTGATCTGGCATCTCGTCTGCAGCCGCTTTCTCACAGACGTGCCTTTGCATTCCTCTATCTTTTTTTTTACAAATACTTTCACGGTAACTGCTCCGATGAGCTGCTTTCGCTAGTTCCCAGACTTCATGAATTTAAGCGTTCTACTAGGCTGGCATCTCGCCTACACCCTTTCACTGTCGAAAATGTTAAATGTAGCCGTCCCTTCTAGACCAATAGCTTCAGGTCTCACACCTCTCACCTGTGGAACTCCCTCCCCTCTTCTTGTTTCCCTGATAACTATAATGTCCAACTATTCAAATGTAATGTCAATCGACGTTTCCATATGCCCTGATCTATCCCCTATCCTTCTCTTCATCCTTTCCTCCATCACTCTCTTTACTCTTGCTCCAACTCTCTAACCCCTTGCGTGCTTGTGGCTTCCTGCCTTGCTTGGGGTGAAACGCTTAAAAAAATAAAAAAAATTGGAATGTAATTGTAATTTATTTCTAAATAAAGCCGATAAATAGAAACGGAAGTTATTTATGACTAACACTAATAAATAATTTTTTTTTTTTAATACAACTAATTTAATTACATAATTTTTTCATTTATAATTAATAGTTAATTACTAGACAATGTAGAAAAAAACTTCAATTGCAAAATTATTTTTTTCGTGTGTATTATCTTGCTGTAATAGAAAATAATCACGTAAAACTGTGTGCACTGTGATACAATATATAAAAATTACTTAAGCTACGAAATTCTATATGCACAAAGGAAGTGCTTAACATGTTTATGTACCGTAAATTTGCAAGTTGCTAAAACTAATCCAGAAATAATAAAAATATCTACTTTTCCCCCTCTGACTTAAGAGTGCATACTACTTTTGTTAGAACTTAAGTATACCCAAAATATTCACGTGGTTATCTAGGGTTTTTGTTACGTTTGTTTTATTTGACTTTTTCAGCCCTAGTGAGCTGTGTGTTAACATTAGCATTTATATTAATGTCTAGTGATCTGACTGAATCATTGCTGAATAAATGAATAATTTGTTTTGCATTTACAGCCGCAATCTAAAAAAAAAGTCTGATTATGTTATGCAGTAATTAAGACAGTCTCGGCAACAAAAATGAACTAGGAAAGACACCTTAAATAAAGAACTGAATGTGAGTAAATAGAAGTCCCTCGCAGCCAAGCAGTTCACTGCCTCGCCACTGAACTTTCTGCCTGCAGAGAGGAAGCCAGACGAGGCTATGCTTAAGGACAGAGTCTGGTCTGTGCAGATAGACAAACTCGACTTCATGTATGCAGGGTCTACGGGGAATTTTTTTCCCCGAGCATACGGGGTCGGATTTGCCCCCACATAAAATTCGGTCTTGTGACATATCCTGCCTTGTTGGGAGGGTGCTAAATACCAGTCCATTGCGGTCTGGCAGTTCGCTCTCTGGCTCGCTATTGTCATGCTCTCTGTCTTTGGGCAGAGTACGACTCTGTTGGGGCTCTGTCTAGACAGAAATACGCGGTAGAATTCTAACGAAACTTGGGCAGAATCAACGATTAACACTACAAGAAATATCGGACGAATGTCAGAGAATCCTAAGTCTGAGACCCGATACGGAACAAAGTGGTGAACAAAAATATGCATACATATGGAACTGGACTTATAGGTGTTAGGAGGCGTCTGAAGAAATCAATAAAATATTAACGTTAGACGTATCATTATTGCATTACGATCCAAAAGCAGAAATCGTTTTGGCTTCAGATGATAGTCACTATATTATATGAAAGTAATACTATAATAAATATGATGACAGTGACATGAAACGTTCGCTTCTATCGGCAGAAAAAAAAGAGACAAATTGAATAACATGTTATCAATACTATTTGTAGTGAAAAGTTTCACAAATTTATACAGAAGGAATTCCCATTTACAAACGGATCATCGACCTCTATTATCAATGTATGGCTCAAAAATGAAATTCCTACGCATAAAGCGAATAGATTATAACGCTGCGGTACTATTTTACGATTTCAGGATGGAATACCAATCGTCCAAAAAATTAGGATATGCTGATAGTTTATCAAGATTGATACAATAAAACACTGAACCGTTTGAGGTCACTGTTATTGTAGCATTAAAAGTGAAATCGAAATTAAATATATATATATATATATATATATATATATATATATATATATATATATATATATATATTAGCTGAAGTGCCAGTTACCCTGGGAGAAATAAATGTAAATGCAGAACAAGACATATTTTATTAAAAAAATGAAAAAAAAAAAACGACTAAAAGGAAGTAAGAAAGGAATTAAACCTTTGCTCGCTATGTGACGGACTACTTAAGTTTGCACAAAAGTAGTAATACATATCATATTACAAAAGCGGATATTAAATGAATTTCATAGTAGACATCTGGGAATTTCAAAGATGAATATCTTATGAAATTCTGTGAATACTGGACCGATTTTGGCCCAGTATACATAGATTGGATCAAGACATTGAAAAATTAGTAAAAGCCTGCCGAGGTTGTGCTCTGACAGCAAAGTCATCTACCACGAAATTACAACCTTGATAAAGACGGCACATAAATTTCGCAGCTCCACCAAACGAATCATATTATCTCGTGGCTGCGGATTGCTTTACTAAGTGGCATGAAATGGGAATACAAAAGGCATTGTAATCAGTTAAAGAAAAGGTTTACTGTAGAAAGCCTACATGAAAGGATGAACCTGTGAAAGTAATGCATGATACTTTGACGTACCAAATATGAATACCAGAAGAAGGAAACGTACTGAAAATCATTCGTGAGTATGAACCGATTTTTTACATAATATATATATATATATATATATATATATATATATATATATATATATATATATATATATATATATATATATCTCTCTCTCTCTCTATATATATATATATATATATATATATATATATATATATATATATATATATATATATATATATATTAGGCTAAGACTTCTTGATTTTTTGTAAAATAATTCATATATTGTATCATAATTCGATTAACCTTCTTGAAAAATAATGAAGAAGTGTTTAAATCAGTTTTTTTTAATTACACCTCCAGCAGGAAATTTCTAAAATCGTTTAGAAGTCCGATGACTTTCTGGAGACTTCTAGAACTTTCACGGACCTTTTATAAGTTACTGGTGTCTTCTATTTTTTTTTAGTTTTAAGTTTGCATTTTATGTTATGCTATTGTTATAAACTGTTAAATGCGTTAAAATACATAACTCCTATCCCATTGCATCATTACCGAATTGAAAAATAAAGCTTCTGGAATATTTTTATTTTTTGGCCTTATTTCTTATATGGTAAAATTGAATTTTCGGTTTGGGGTGACCTTTTCTAAGAACTAAAACTAATTAATCCCCTTACAATTAATGCCGTTTATCAATTTAGGACACAAAAACACAGGGTTACAAAAAAGTCAAAAACCTGATATATACATTTTAAGAAAGTGATTTTATAAATGTCAATCGATAGTAATATTAACTGTTCGATCAATGAATATCGAATGATTCCTATTTTACCCAAATATTCGATGTGTCTGCTAAGAATATGAGATAAGAGAAATTAGGATCTTTCCGAGTTTCCCCGTTGTATTGCAATTAGTACTCAACGAGGTTTTCATTCAACTTATACACGAGTAATCAAATCTAAGTTTTATACAAAACTACACTAACGGCCAATCCCTTGCGATAAAAGATTTCTCTACTAACAATTATTTATCAATAGTCTCTTTGTTGATGGAAGACATGTCGTTCAGGGAATTCGATTTCCAAAGCGTGGATTTTAGTGATTTAAAAGTCAAAAGCGGACGGCGAACAAATATGCAACTAGTGTGTACAGTATTTTATGCAAAATTTTATTTGACAGTGCAAAGTTTGCTTTTTTTTCTGAAGTCTTTAGAAAAAGCGGGTAAATTAAAGACCAACTCTCTTTTTCCCGCGTTCAAACATCTGTTTATACTTGTTATTTAAAGACTCTTCTCTCTTGGTATTCTTCTGTTGTGTTGTGGAATATAACAAGTAAGAAACGTTTCTTCAGGCAAGTGAATAAATGCTTGCTGTCATTGTTTTTTGGGGGTTTTTTTTGTCTTAATATTGAAAAAACTGAGAATATTTGTTTAGCGAATAGCCTCTTCCTAATTGTCTTTCTAAGAACTGTCAGAGAGTGTTTTATTGCATGTGCGGGTATATTTAGGTCTTTTAAAAATGGCGTTTCTTTTTGTAAAAGTTTTTAGAATTTGTCACGTGTTTCCAATAAAAGACAACCATTTTGTGCTGTTCGCAAACTTTTTTCAATAAACACCTCTGTCTTTTTTACAATTATTTTCGTGGTAACTGCTCATTGGAGCTGCTTTCGCTGGTTCCCAAACCTCATGAATTTAAGCGTTCTACTAGTTCACTGTCGAAACTGTTAACTGTAGCCGTCTCTTCTACTCCAATAGCTTCCTGTCTCGCAGCTCTCACTTGTTGAACTCCCTCCCCTCTTCCTGTTTCCGTGATAGCTGTAATCTCCAACTAATCAAATGTAATGTCAATCTACGTTTCCATATGATCTATCCCCTATCCTTCTCTTCATCCTTTCCTCCATCACTCTCTTTACTCTCGCTCAACTCCCTGTAACCCCTTGCGTACTAGTTGCTTCTCGCCTTGCTTGGGGTGAAACGCTTACAAAAATAAGAATTACACGGCGTCCAATGCGATTTTCCTCTTTGTAGAATGAAATATAGAATCATCTTATTTTTTTTCTGTTATATTTCAAGGCCTTTCATATCTATCTACAGCTGCCTGTCTTTGTTACTCTAATTCATTGGTTCTCAAACGGCACGGTGAGCCTCATAGATGCGGCAGAAGAGGATAGCAGGTGAGGCGGAAGAGGATAGCAGGTGAGGCGGAAGAGGATAGCAGGTGGAAGAGGATAGCAGGATAGCGGAAGAGGATAAGGTGGAAGGAGGATAGCAGGTGAGGTGGAAGAGGATAGCAGGTGCGGCGGAAGAGGATAGCAGGTGAGGCGGAAGAGGATAGCAGGTGAGGCGGAAGAGGATAGCAGGTGAGGCGGAAGAGGATAGCAGGTGAGGCGGGAAGAGGGAGGTAGGTGGAAGAGGATAGCAGGTGAGGCGGAAGAGGATAGCAGGTGCGGTGGAAGAGGATAGCAGGTGAGGCGGAAGAAGATAGCAGGTGAGGCGGAAGAGGATAGCAGATGCGGTGGAAGAGGATAGCAGGTGAGGCGGAAGAGGATAGCAGGTGAGGCGGAAGAAGATAGCAGGTGAGGCGGAAGAGGATAGCAGATGCGGCGGAAGAGGATAGCAGGTGAGGCGGAAGAGGATAGCAGGTGAGGCGGAAGAAGATAGCAGGTGAGGCGGAAGAGGATAGCAGGTGCGGTGGAAGAGGATAGCAGGTGAGGCGGAAGAGGATAGCAGGTGAGGCGGAATGATTGAAAGAAACTGTATGAAAAATTCATAACTCAAAAATAAGTATGATTCCCAAATTTAAAATACTATTATGGGTTAATTGCAATCGCAGGTATGAGTCCCAGTATAAATAGTTATACATAATTATTGACCGATTTTATCAATGAGATATTTTTGCATCATATCAAGCATTAAGTATATAGTAACTAGGTTCCGCAAATTTGAGGAGAGAGTTATCAATGAGTTCGATTTCATATCCACCGTTATCTCCCTTTAACACTCTTTCTGGATTTTCTTTGCCGTAGGGCTGCTTTACCCTTTTTACCGGTAATTCACTTTGGTGAAGTACGAGGAAATTTTCATTCCCAAAATGTGGCGAAAAAAAAAAAAAAAATTTGGGGAATCACTGCAAGTAATATTTTATCATTCACCATAACTTTTTTCCCATTCTTGTAATCAGTTTACACAGCCTGTTTCGGTAAGTTACACGCTGTTTCCCACAGCGTTCCATGTCGTTAGCATCTTTTGAGTGTTAAATTCTTTAAGCCTATTTTCCTCATTATATCAATCTAACATGGAAAGTTCTTGCAACGTTAGTTTTTAACATTTATAAATATCGCTATCCAGAAATCCGAAATATCGAATCCAGAAATTCTGATCAAATAATTGCCAAAAGCAAGAATAAAATTTATCAAATATTTAAATATTTTCAAAATGTTACACAATTTAATAATAGCAAAAACAATGGTCAGTTTAAAACCCCCAAAAAAAGAATACCAAGAAAAGACAGTAAAAAAATATATATTTATATTACCATAAAGTGGTAATATTTACAGTAAATTACATTAAGTGGTAATATCGACATAGAAGAACACAATAACAGCGTAACCGGTTTATCGATGATTTCTTAGAATATACGCACAATAATTAAAATTTAAAACATCAAGAACTTATCTTAAATATAGGACAGGTTTCACTAATATTTGAATAATTTTTCATATACACGACCTTTCCTGTTTTGGATGTTTTATATTGTGGTACAAATGTCAGATTAGTTTTTCTTTTTTTTTATTCTGTGTACCGTAATTATTCTTTTATAAGCTTGTAAGGCTTATGACCATATCACATAGAAACACAAGGCTCCGTACCAACACCGAAGTTCAGGAATGTCGAGCCTGGTCAGTAACTAGATAGGTGACCGCTTGGAAATACCAGATGCTGTAACCTCACTTATGTGTAAATTCCATTGGGAAAGTTAGTAATCCACGTCTTCTCCCGCAGAATTGGGTTAATTCGTAGGATTTCTATCAGTACGTCATAACTGTCAATATAAAAGTTCGTATAATTTAAAAAAAAAAAAATTCTGGCTTTAAATAAACTGAAAAAAGTTTGATTAACCGTAAAACCCAAATCGTTCAAGTAAACAATCAATACTGATTTTTATATTCGCTTGTTGATCCTGTCCATAACAAAAAAAAAAAAAAAAAAAAATTAAATTATTAAATTATTAAAGCCTTGATTCTTCGATCGCTAATTATCTATTCTGAAACAAAATTAAATTCTGAATTTTTGTTTTTACTAATATTTTAGTTGAAAATGTCTACTTTCTGGATACGGTACAATCTAACATTGATTTTAAGATTGTGCATTTTATTAAACCTAAAATATATATATTTTTTATTCTTCGACCGAAGTATCTCGGACATTAATGAGTCTATCGCGCCAACCATCAAATTTTTATGGTCGGAAGGTCAATATGTGGCGTCCTGGGTCATATCATAGCTGGTAAATGTAGATGATTGCTGGTCGACCTGTCCGTCTTGCGCCATGTGTAGGTGTCCAGAGCAGTGATCACTCTCGAGTTGTTGATTTGCTTGCCAGCCGTATCCTGCTTTCTCATAAGATTTTAGTAATATCAGGGATGGGTCCATAGTGCTCTGTTTTAATTAGATTTTGCCTACCACAGCTGTTAATAAATATAGCTTTCATCGCCCGAGTCTATGTTCTATCAAGCTTAGACTCTAGGATTTTTAGTTAATGTCCAAGCAGTTGTACCATATGTTAAAAGCGCGTCTAGGGGTGCAAAATAATATCCGTTTGTGGTTGTCTGGTAGATCAGATTTCCAGGTTGTATATATTCTTCTAAGTCGGCTGAGTTTTAGCAATGTGAATTTTCACATCATTTTCCGTATCTATTTCGCTTTCTACATATGTAAAAGATTCGACAGATTTTATTGATTGATCTGTGTATTGAATTTAGTTGGTTGAAGCTTATGAATTCAGCTTTAGAGGCATTAAAATGGAGTCCAACATCGTTAGCAGCATTTTCTAGATGATGTAGGAGAACTGTGGCATTGGTAATGGTGTCTGCAGTGATAGCTAGCTCATCCTCATTTTCATCGTCTATTTGTGAATATCGTAGATTGGCGAAGTTAGCTATACTTTTACTATGCAAATATCTCAAAGTGTGTAATTTTGTTATTTTCCTATAATCGACGTCCTGTCCTAATATCAATTGGTAAATAGTTTCATTAATTTCATAATTATGATTCGTCAGAATATTCAAATAAAATAACCGTTAATTTTTCACGGCTATTTAAGTTATTATTTGGAAATGTGGAAACAAAGATAGAGAAAACTGATGAAGGCTTTTCTTGAGAATAAGGTCGAAAGTAATATATTATGATATTTCCAAATTTTGACCCATCTTTCTTCAAAGCCCAAGAGACCAGATATAGTTCCCATATAAGGAAACAAAAGAAAAGAAAAAAGAAAAACGAAATGTTTGTCAGATAGGAGATACTGTCTTTCTGAAAGACCATACAGGGAAACTGAAAGCGAATAAAAACATTTAAAATACTTGGATCTGTGACAAAAATAAATATAACAAAATTATTAAATAAAAGATAGAGATTTCACAATAAGGCATCTTTAGGGCCGATCGTCATATGCCTTTCAAAACAGAACAGGAATTTTGAGAACGAAGCTGAAGAATTCAAACAATATTATTGTAGTATAAATTTGGCAAACTGTCAGATTAATTCAGGAAATTTCACCAATCCCAGAATGTTAAACCGGGAGCAATTTCTTGGTTACCAAACTAATGGAACTGAATTCCTATTCTGTCAACAACGCCGTAAACGTTTCCTTATTCCCGCTCGATAATAACGCGTATTTTTCCCCTCTTTCTCATTGGTAAATCTTCGCATTTTTGGGTGGAATATTTTGCATACGTACGCACCTTTGGTCGCAAAGCACTTTTTCTTCTTGGTAACGATTAATTGACTATTGAGGGTAAGGTAGGATTGTACAAAAGGATATGTTGCTTTTGGAAGCGTGTTATTGCACTCAATTTGGAAGTTGGTGTTTGAGATGGTAAATAATGAGACTAAATACTTTTCTACAATTCATTATCGTTTACATTTAGAAAAGGTGTTTATAAGATTCATTTTAGGTTTAAATTTGAAGGGTTGTAATTTCATTCCAGTGATCGTCTTACAATTATCCACCCGCTGCCCCACACAGCAAGATGTAGCACAAGGCCAAGTTTTAAAGTGGGGGAGAAGAGATTTTCCAAACGTAGCTTAGATGTGGTACAAGGCCAGAAACTATAGGGCACCTATTGAGGATCGAAATCCCTACTCAGTCGTAATTGTTCGTAGCAAGACAAGCTTGCTAACCATTACACTGCCGAGCTGAGACTTATAAAATTTATAATTTACTGAATTTTTACAAATTCTGTATGAACAAGACGAATGGCACAGTCACATTATTATTAATCTTTGTGCCATTAAATAAGAACATTGTTTACATCAAAAGGAAATTATACTTAACAATTTGTTAGTATGTAATGTATTATACAGTACAGTAGCTTTAGTGCGATTTTCAATAAACAATACAAATTTCGAACATTTTGTCTCGTAATTTGTGTTCAGCAGTACTAATTTTTTATATACACATTTATCTATTTTTTGATTTTATTAATTATGATCTGACAAATGATCAAAAATTTTTTATTCATTGAGTAACGTTTTTTTGTAATCTTTTACAATTTTTTTTACACAGTTTTTACTTATTTAATACAATAAAAAAAAACTACGTATTTTCCTTGTGGTGATTCATAACTAAAATCCTGGTTTGAATATATGTTCCATTCAATTTTATCTAATAAAAAAATATCAACTTTATTTGGATTTATTCTTGAAATAGTAATGTTTTGAAGTCCGATTTTAAGCAACAATATGTGGAAATTGGATATTTCTGTACATTTTTCAGAAAATGCTTAAAAATTGCTTGAAACTAATTTTGATGTCAATACTTAACCCATCAACCTCCAGCTTTCAATGTTGATGATTTAAACAATTTAGTAGATAAACTATCATATTTTACAAAAGATATTGTGACAATAAATAACCATTTTTCATTTTTTTATTAATATATTAAACACGCTATTTCTTTTAATCTTATAAAAATTAATTTTTAATTTTCTAAAAAAAATTAATTAAATAATTTTTATAATTAATTTTATAATTAATCAAAATTAATAATTATTTTTAATTTTATAAAAAAATAGAACCATAGGCCGACGTTGCCCGTGCTTGATTCAAAAATCGTACGACTCATACAACAATCGCTATCACGTGACTTAAAATATTTTTGCACTTCCTTGCCTTTAAATGAGTGCCTTTTGCCGTGCTGATGTTACTACATGCCTTACTTCTTGCCTATTTCACACTGCGAATTTTTTCTAAGCTCTATACTAAACATTAAAACTGTTACGAAAAAAGAACTAAACAAAATGAACAGAAAACGATCAGCTTTAAAAAAAGGACTCGTAACTGGAAAAACCGAATGAAAAAAGAATTTTAACAACAAATACTTTTTCACACCCAACCCAGTTCTGCGGAATCAGAATCAACGTTGAGTTTAAGCAAGCGAATGAGCCAATTGGAGTTAAGTGCCATGCAGATTTAAATTTTTCACACCTGTGACGAATGCAGCTATCGATTTTTTTTTGCATGCTAGTTAACATTCGTGTCAGTCAGCTGCTGGTTTCACGCTGCCGAATAGAATCTTCCTGTCTATTCGTGGCAGCCAGCTATAGGCTCTTACTCTGGACAGTACAAAATGGCCCCAAACTACATGAAAACTGCTGTAGAAAGATGAAAAAATCGATTATTTCCAATATCGATGGGAGTTGAGAAATGCAAAGTCGGTCTTGGCCTTCCCGCTAACTTGGAGATTCGCATGCAAATTTTACACACACACACACACACACACACACACACACACACACACAAATCCACACAGAAAACACACACACAGACACAGACACACACACACAGACACACACACACACACACACACACACACACACACACACACACACACACACACACACACACACACACACACACACATCCTGCCTTTTATAGATAGAGATTGATAAGTTTTGATTCTGTTTACAATGACAATTCTTTGTACAGTGATTTCTCAACACAAACCAAAAAAATATATATTAAGACGATGTAAATTCTTAAAATACAAAAATATATATATATTTAAATTCGTCATCACAATTGCAGAATAAACTGATGGGATAGGTTGTGGTTATACAGAAGGATGATGAGAATACAATGGACTGAACATGTGAGAAAGAACGAGTTATTAGTGAATATGGAAACGAAATGACAATTGGGAAAAACAGAGTTAACATTTCTATGGCACATAATGAAGAAAGAAGGCTTGGAAAATTTGACACTCACGGGATATATTAAAAGCAAGAGGGACAGCTGAAAACAGCACATAACTTACCAAACTAGCTTCTGTAAATGTCTGGCAGAACAGAGTTTAAGAGATATAGGAAAATGGAAAAAATGTTAATGGATACAAAGAACAGGAAATTGTGGAGCGTCATGATCGCTATGTTCTAAAATGAAAGCGCACATAGAAAAGGAATTATATCGTATGAACAGAATGTTTGGTTTATAATGAATTTACACCCCTCTAACTTTTATAAGATTTAGTAAAAAAATATTCATTTAATTCTCGTACTTGAAATAAAACAAGTACAAAAATGTAAATATATGTGAAATGTTTGAAGAGAGAAAGGGAAGTGTGACACCGAAATCTGAAGGTAGATTGGTATAGCGAAAGAAAAAGAAAACCAAGAAAACAGTACTGAACACTTTATGTAATGCCAGTCCTCCTATATGGCAGTGAATGCTAGACAATCTCACATATGAAGAAAAGACAAGAAGGAAAAGAAATGTCTTTCAACAGAATTCTCCTGGACTGCACAGATGAATTTTTTGAGTAAATGGAAAAAAAATGGACAAATATCTGGAAAAGAAAATTGAAGATTTTAGGACACACAATTAGAAAAGAGAGATAGAAAAATCTGATACTTACAAGAGAGATTAAAGGCAAGAGGGACAGAGGAAATTAACGCATAGCCTACCGTAATTTCCCGAAAATAATACGCACTCATAAATAATACGCATCCCAAAAAATGATCCAAAAAAATAAGAAATATATCTGTTGTAATGTATAATACACATTTATATATTTTGTCAAAAAAAATAATAATTGCAAAGACATTTTGTCGACCTTGGCATTAAGAAGAGGATG